ACAGATATCGCGCGCAACGGGGAACAGAAACCGAACTTTCGGCTCCGGGTGATGTAACGCCGGAAAAACCGGAAGCTCCCCCGACTATCGGCCGCGACTCCGACTCCTGGCTAATTAAGTAAAAGCATCCCGCTGTCTGTGAACTCTCCTCGACGCTCGACGCTCGGCGTCGTGTGTGCGCTTCACTCCAACCGCGTTCCCGATTAAAATCCTCGAGCTCTCTCGTGCGGGAGTTCAGCCGCATCTTCAAACCAGGATATTCCCCGTTTTTTCTCTCTTTCCGTTTAACCTTCGGATTCTCCGCATTCCAATTTTCGCGTAAATACCGTTGTCGATCGACGAGCACACTCGAACGCCAACACGGCGAATAGCGCGATCCCCTGTCCCCCGATTCTTGCAAGGTTTTGCTCCACATGAAATATCAACCCGTTGAACTTTGGACGATGCCCGTTACTTCGAGAGACAGTTTTTCCAGGGACTAAGTTGACCGAATTCTGGAAGCGCGCGGTCGTTGTTCGCGAATCGACAACGGGGGCTTCTTTGGAAGACTGCGTCCGTTGGTGTGCTTTCACGCGAAAACTAAGGACGCGCGCGGAATCAAAGGAGTACGTGTGCATTCATCTTGGAGCACGACCCTTCTGGATGTGTACTCGTTCCGTTGGCCGTACGCGAGCGCGTGCATTCCTGCACAAAGCCGAGCAGAAGTTTCTCGACGCAACGTCGTCTCTAGCAGCCGACATTTTTGCGTCCCAAAATTAGAAACATCGGGCAACAATACGGCTCCACGTGCCAACTTGCTCGCGAAAGTATTCCAACGAGACTCGAAACTGAAATATGCAATCGTACGGTTCCGAAAGTGATCCGGACGTATCTTTTTTTGAATCTACGACTCCGATACGCTCTGTAATTAAGCGCAGCCGTACCCTCCACCGATGTTTTTCCCCCTCGTTAGACCGCGGAAGAAACGTCGACGCGCGAAGAAATCAGTTTAGTGGATACGAAAGGAACACCTGTGCGAGATCGAAGGATAGTCGGGTTAAACGGTCGACTGGCACGCGATACTTTTCAACGGTGGTCGAGCATCGATTTCAGCTCAGCTGACTTCTCGACCTGGCGATCTCTAACGCGCGTTTCCCTTCGAGCGGAAAGAATGGAAAACGATACGAGATAAAAAGGTGAATTACCCGCGGAGAGATCGGGACCGATAAGACGCTCGAAACGATCGTGGAAGATAATAAAACGAAACGTCGCGAGGATTCGCGCGGAGTTCCATTTTCCCGGGCTTTCCCGTGCCCGGCGTCGCGACGGTTTAACGACGATTTAGCGCCGGTGACGCGGCATGCAAATGCATCGCGGAACCTAGTTTCGTAGGCGTACGCGCGCCGGCTCGCAACTCGCTACATTTTCTTCCGTCTTCTTTTCCCGTTCCTCCGTAAAACGCGTTTACGTGCTCGGCGAGCGAGTCGCGAGCACCGATCCAACGGGGAACGAGAGCCAACTCCGCGAGACACGAAATACCCGGGGATTTCAACGACCGGGAACATCGTTAAAAGAGTCTCGAGTGCATCCCCTTTAATTTAAAATGCAAATTTCCCCGATGAAACGAAGGGAAACGAATAGAGAGGAGGTTCTTTGGGACGACGAGACGCGATCTCGCCCGTGGACGGTTTCCTCTTTTTCCCTTCGGTTTTCGGAGCGAGCTGCAACAACGTATCGAACTCGCGTTAACAATCTTCCCGCGCGGACCAATCGCGTGCGCCCTCGCGTAATCGAAACTCGATACTCGAACCGAATGCTTGGAGAGCTCGTTTCGAAGCTTTCCGTGGCCGAGATCGAATGGAAATCTCGCTTTTCGGCGACGACTAACAACGTCGGGGGAACTGGAATACGCCTGCACACGATACTCGCGAAGGTTAATCGATCACCGAGCTCCCGATACCGCAAACTATGTACCAGACCAGAGAATCCGATCTGAAAATAAGCTAAATTATAGGATAAGCATTTGTTACCGCGGTACGCCACCCTTTGACGTTCCAACGTTGCTCGAGAAACATAGTTGGAATATCGATAGGACACCCGCGACGCTCGAGCCACCTTAACGAACCGTGTCGCGCGATATATCGCTCCAGCGCTTCGCTCCGGGTTAATAGTGCTTAATAATATAGATCGCGTCCAGGAATTCCAGGCATTCGAAGCCACGACCTCTCTTTTGAAAAGAGCCGCGAAGGTATGCGACCCAACCATCCCACTATACCGGGTGGCTCTACAAACTAGGGCGAGATCTCTTCCGAGCGAGGCCGTCTTTCGATATAATTCTCTCCTTTCGATCACCGATGACAAGTAAAATGCGACGGAGCTTATAGTTACGACATCGCCTAGGGTCAGCGGTAGACTCTACGCCGATGCAGAATCGCAACAACGTATACGACACGCCTACGATATTATACATGAAGTATCGACGCGTTTCTGACGAAGGCCACCTTCGGGCTGCGAAGTGATGCCTGTGCATCGCGATTCGAACGCGATTATATTTTTACCAAAAGAAAGACGCGGTCGAGGATCTGGACGGGAAAGGCTTCCATAAATTTTTTTTATTTCCACGTCGGAAATCGAAGCGACGTTCGATTGAAACTTTAGGAACGGAGCAAGCGGTGCCAGTTTCTTTTTATTCGCGGTCGATTTTATCGGTTTCACGGTTTAACGCCGAAGCGTCCGCAAAACCTAATCGTACGATTCTGGAGGATCGAACGCCACCCATTTTCGACGTATCACTGCCCGCGGTACAGAGTGGACAATATCTGTCCGGATTACGATCGCCTTGGGAGTCGTCTCGAAACGATGAGATCCTGGCACCCGTGTGCATTCAGGAAACGAAACACGACGCGTACAGTGAAAGAATACATCTCGATGTTACTTTCTTGAACTCGAAATTACCGAGTTGCTGATTTCGAGGAAGAATGCGTTGTCTCTTCAAAATTGAAATGGCCGTCGTCGGAGTTATATAGCGAAGCAAAAGGTGCGTGACAGCTAGAATACAACCGCGCGCGCGCGTCTTTTCGGAACAGCATACTGGCAAAGTTTTACGAGCGGACCACCCTCGAACCATCCAGAGCTCATTAACCGTTTCGTTCCGGGACGCAATTGTGCATCCAACCGCCATGAAGTTTCCTTTAATATCGAGTTACGAGAACAGCGATAAACCCGGCGACATGCGTCCTTTCGCGGACCGCGCGAATTAGTCGGACCGATTACCTTTTCACCCCGGTTCGCCGGAACTTTGCCACCGAAACGCGAACCCATCTTGCCAATTTTAGGCGCTCGTGAAACTCCGCCTCGCGGTACGTCTCTTTCGGAGATCAAACTTTGGAATTACATTTTGCACAGCGAGAAAATACACGCGAATGGCAACGATCCAGGAAGCAGAGGCGAAATTGATTCCATGGGAATTCCTGGGAACATTTCCCGACTCGTCCAGCTACACCGTCGGGAGATGGACGATTTTCGCGTTTCGTATTGTAAACGAGACGAACAATGAGCGTTTAAATTCTAAGAATCCGCGAGAAGGAGGGCCCGTGGTCTCTGTTTCGCGCGCGAGATCGTTTGTCACGGCTTGCGCGAGGATAACTTAAGAACAGAGCACATCGCGGAGACACAGTGTTTAGTCTGGCGCAACGAGAATATTACAGAGTTAAGGAACGAGAATTTTACAGCTTAGAATCGAGATTTATCTTGATCGCTTTTAGATGTCGCGTATCCGGGCAAGGCCTTGACTTTTTCACCGATATGATTTTGCATATTTTCTACGACCGGGATTAATAATTCGGTGACTATTTTTGGAATAGTGGAGCAGTCGAACAGAGTCACGAGGCTGGAGTCCAGCGTGAAAGAAAGTCGAAAGCTAATTCTGGTTTGGGTGACGGGGCTCGCGCCGCGCCAGGAAGCGTCGGTGGCGCGATATGGGGGCAGCGTGGATCCGCTACATAAATCGTCCGTCGCGGCGTCGCCGAGGCCGAGGCCGATGCCAACGGTCGCCAACGGGTTACCTAGGAAAACACGACCGGTTACAAATTACGCGCGATACGCCGGGCATTAGCGGTTTGCGATCCGCGCGGCAGCATCCTTGAACGAAATTTACGCGACCGGCTTAGCAGCCCCTTTTCTTCTTTTATCGTCCACGCAAGTTCCCTAGAAAAGATTCGAGCGCATCGAGGGATCGAGGTTACGAGCGGACGAACCAGGAAGCGGAGACGCGTGCCGCGCGTTCCCCGAGCGCGTCGCGCGAACGGAGAAAAGAGAAACAAAACCGCGGGTCCGTGTCTTCTTTGGCCAGAAGATTTCGCGGTGGTGGCACTTCAAAGTGACGAGACCGAATAGCAGCGGACCGGGCTCGTTTCTCAGAATGCTTTACGGACCGCCGCGAGAAGTCCGCTTCATTTGCTGGATTTAGAATGAATTATCGGGGTATTAACGTAGCACGGAACGAATAACGATCCGCCGGCTGATGTACGGCGTATCCTGTTCGCCGCCTCCTCCTTTTTCTTTCCGCCACGGTTCCTCTAGTCTCTTTGTTTACTTCGACGCCCGCGTCGAACCGATACCCCGCGATTTACAACTCCGGGCTAGAAAATATCAGGGAGATCGATGTCGCGAGTCAACCACCCCCTCGACACGTGCTTACCCCGTAATCTCTAATTTCCTACGATTCGAGATCTCCCTTTCGGGGAAAAGACAATTTTTTCGCGCGTTAGCGGAATGAAAAATGCGCTCGAGCCGTATCGATAAGGACTTTGGTGGCATAAAAATCAATGTCGCCGAAGAGCTACTCTCGTGCATTTTCTACCGCCCCTGCGACGGATTTACCGGCATCCCGCGCATCGAAACACACGGGTCTCCTTTGTGCGGCTCGCGCGTGTCACCCTCCGCTCCGGGAATCGCCGCCATTCATCCAGCCACTTAATCGATCTTTTGTAAGAACGTGTTTAAAATCTGCGTCGACTCACCAGAATTCTCCGTTCTCCTGTCGTGATCGCGACACCTGAAAACAGAAAACCGTCCGCGTCAGAACATCCCGGAAGGGTCGATGCAATTGTGAAAACGCACATCTTCGATCGAAACAAAGCTCTATCGATTCTCGGTGACGTGAAATTAATCACGGTCCGATAAACGGGCAAATCGTTCGGTCGATTATCTACGGGTTCTGTTGCGAGACTCGAACGAAGGGAAAAGCGTACGCGAGTGAAACGACGGGAACAAAAAGAGACCGCCGAGCGCCGCGGGCATTGTTTACGGAGATTGGAACGCAAACGGCGAAACCGCAATCGACGCGTGCTCGTCTTTGCCGGGAACGCGAGTTCGAATTTTCCAGACGACGAAACGCGCCACGGTGTGCCGAGGACAGCTGACAGGAACATCGGCTGCTCTCTCGAGAGGGTGGCTGTTCTCGCATCGGCGCTTTCACCGTCTGCATAAAATTATTGCCGGCAACCCTTGCCCGGCACCCGTCGAGTCCTTCTCCCGCGACTATCGATCCTGCTTATTTATAGCGATACGAGAAAACGGTAACCCGGTCGTCGCCGCGCTCCCACGTCGCCCCGGCGAAAATCGTCTTCTCGCCAAAGCAACGTCGAACCAACCAGTCGTTAGAATTCGATCATATAAAATACAGAGGCTTGGAGTTAATAATTTTGAAAAGAACGTGGCCATAGCGAAAAATTCATATCGGAGCAAGTTAATCGACTTGCCGGAATTTCGCGGCGAGCAGAGCTTTTTCGTGGGGGTTTTAATCGAGTCTGTCCCCCGCGTCTTCGGTGGAATATACGTACCACCACGACTGATTTATGCATGCACGAGGGTCACCGCGTGCCAGTAGATAACGTTTAAGTTTCCTTGCCCGTAACTTTTCTATAATCGTCGATTACAACCTTCCTTTTACTTCTCGGTGACAATATTCTATACTTTCACACCGCGGGTACCTCGTGCGCCGATAAATCCGACGCTGTAATTACCGGAGTATTTTAACTAGCTCGACGTCAGCCGGCTAAATCATTTTCTAAACGAGTTTTATCTCGCGCAAAGACTTCAAGTCGCATTCCGATACAAGGTTTTCAAGCTTGCCTGATATTTAACGTCAGAAACCAAAACTCCAAGAGTCCGTTTAAATGAACGAATTACGTTCCGTGTGCTTGTAGTTGGTGCACCGTGTATCGATAAGAGAACGCTAATGCATAATCCGTTTAGGAAGATTATAATTACCGAAGCCGGTCGCGGTCTTTTTCGGTTCCATAGTGTCTGAGATTCGCTTAATTGCGAATTTGGATTTACGATAATTGCTCGAGCCCCGAGGCACGGTGTTGCCAATAATCAGGTATCGGATTTAATACGTCTCGTTCGAAGGTATCGCGACTGCGCGGCATCGAGTGCCCCTCGTTAGAAACGAGCAGAAACAATTAGCCGTCGGCTTCTGTCTTTGTGCCCGACCGCGGAACGAACCTCCCGGGTTACGTGCCATTGCAAAAATTACACGCGGAAATCGCGGTGAATACCGGGTCGCGGCAATTTACATTACAATGGATTTTAAAATTAATTTAAACGCGGCCGCTGGAAAATTTCACGAAGCGTCGTCTCTCCTGCTGAAAAAAGCTCGCGAGCTGGGAAACGCTAAATACGTACCACCTTTCGCAACAAATTCACCGACAATTTTCTATCTCCGTTATTCCCCGAGTATGCCGGACCATAATAACCAAGAAATTCCCACTCGTGTCGTAACGTCATTACTGGACGAACAAACAACCCGGATTCTTCGCCGGTACCAACTTTTCTGACTTTCTGCTAAGTATTTCTAGTCGGACTTACGAGGCGACGCTCTCTTTTCTCGTCTACTCTGTTTCTTACAGATTAGGGGCTTGTCTGAATATCGAGTTTCTCGATTCTAGGTATACCTTTTAACGTTAAAAATCCGATATACGAGTTTTTAATAATGTTGGATTTCCTAAGCGTCTCACGTTGTTACAGAAATCATCTCCAGCGACGATTGTGTATGTCTGGAGTTTTGGTCATGGGTTCTACGAACTCAATGGTGAACAGAACGGAATTCTAATATACACCTTTTACGTATCATTTAATAAAAAGTACAGTCTACCAGTAATTATTGTCGTTTCATTCGAATCACACGTCCCTTAGCTCTACCTTTTCCAATAAATAATATGCAAATTTTGAGAACTGTTGTACGCCGTAAGAAATTGTTACGCGTCGATCGAGGCTGGTTTTGCGTTCCGTGGGTGGAAAGAAAGCGGGCTCGCGTCGCGACGAAATTCTACGAAAATATCGAGGCGAGAAGCGCGACGGAAGATCGGAATTGTCAGCGGGTGTGTATCTTAGCGGGGTTAAAGTAACGACGTTATAAGCGGGACAGATCGTACACGAGGTTTTTCTGGTCGAACGAGACAGGCGCACGCGTGTTTATGCGCCGGGGAGACGGCGAGCAGCGTGCACACGCGTCGGCGTCGTCGCGACGTAAATTAAATTCTTCGCCCGACCTTCGTCGTTTTCCTCCTCGGCCGTCGGCGTCACGGCCGCGATGCCCCGCGACGCCAAAACATCGCGCGGTTTATCCGCCTAGTATCTCCATCGAGAAAAAGATCGAACCATCGATTTCAAAGACGTTTCTATCGTACAATTCGGACAGTCGCGGACTTTGGTGAACGGTGGGCGTGTTTTGGCGGATTAGAAAACGGTTTGCAACAATTTGCACGGGACAAACAGGAACAGGGCGCGGCGACAACACGACGCGTACGAAAATAGAGTTCCCTCGAGCGGGGGAGTCTTTAACGAACCGCAAAATTGGCTACGTAAACGCAAAATCGATACGAGGGAACTGCCAGGGCAGAGAAAATCTAGTAGGCGGTTAATGGGTTATTCGATATCCGCGGAAATTTTGGGTTCGTCTTTGGCTGCGCGCGCTCGACGCCCACGCGTGCCTCCGTCGCGCATGCCTTAAAGGGATCGAGTCGTATTTTATATTTTCTCGCGAAGAAATCCCACAAAAAATATCACGGCAGAGTGGCCCTTTGAAGCTAATCGAGTAATTAAGTTTCGCGTCACGGCGTAGTCGCGCGTGGCATCGAAATTCGTTTTCCCGTGGAAATTTTCGAGACCGTCGGGAAATTCGGCGCTCCCCCGCGTTTCGCGCGACTTGACAAATTTCGCGGGCGATAACGTCGCGGAAAACGGACAGGAGTGGCTGGTATTCGGGTATGTTGTAGCGGTAAATGCGGGGACCCCTAACGAGAACACTGACAACGCGCAACTAAATCCTACCCTTCGAGGGCGTCTGTCCCGAGGGTGCGACAAGCTCGCCCGGCCATATTAACCTGGCCCTCCCGCGCCAACCCGTGTCTTCCAAAACCCGATCCTCGTCCATCTGCAATTTTCCCTAATCCCAAACGTGCACTACCGTTCGCGAGGAACGATGCGAAAATTTTCTTCCTCGGTTTCGGGACGATCCAACTACGACGGGGGTGAGACGTACGGGACGTAAAACAATTTCATATACCCTGCAAGCTCTCGCGATGGGAGGCTGCGCCGGGGAATCGGCAAAAAACACGCCCGAAACACGTGTTGGCGGCGTTAACGAGAGAACCTTGATTTGACGAGGAAAAAATTTACGTTTCTCCTTTCCCACGACCTCCAAGATCCACAGGAAGTTGACTCGCGAACTGGTTTCCCACTCGCGCCGTTCGATAATAATAAAACAAAAGTACACTGAGAGGCAACTCCTCCCTGCAGATAACACGAGTTCGATCGTCAAGTTTGACACGGTTGGACCACCGTGGCAGACTTTGTTCGACACGCGAGGGGTGTAAACAAGTTAATTTTTTTTAACGACGAGCAAACCGGTCGAGCGACGAGGAAGTTGGCGATAATCGGGACGATATCGTTGCATCGACATACGAACGAGATAAAAAGTAATTGCTGGCGAAGAGACGACTCGAAAGCGGCGGCGCGAAACGCCCCGACCGAGCGGAATAACGCATAGTTTACCAACTAATAACGTTAGTCGGCGAGATGGCATCCGCTAAGAGGTTATTACCCCGCTCCCCGAGACTTTCCATAAATCATAGCACCTCGTCAAACCGCTGCACAGGCATACAAATGGGAATGCAAATAACTGTGTACTCCGTCGTCGCGCTAGCGCGAGCCAAGATACCGCGCTTGCCTCGCGTCCCACAACTCTCGAAGAGAGAGGGGGGTTTCTGCGGCCCCCATAACGCTCCCGTGCCTTCATCCACCCTCTGCTGAACCCTCTTCCAGCTTCCTTCCCTCGTGTCCTGCGTCTCCTCTTCGATATTACCCCGAATATCGTAAACTTGACTTACGCCGCTGGCGACGCTGGTCAATAACCGGAAGCGCGCGTTTCCTCCGGCTAAACGTTCTCCAGCCGCCCCCGTAGCGCGCCATTTTTATCCTCCTTGGTTCTTATCTCCGTTACGCAACCTGGAGACCCGAACAAAACGGATGGAAACGTTCAAGGGATTCTGAAAATCCAAAGTGACACGCGAAACAAAATTTCTAGATTCTACGCCTTCGAGAACTCGCAAACCCGTTTCGTTCGCAACGAACAATGTATAAATAGCGACGCAGTTAAATTAGTTTGCGTTTTTGAAGATTCGAAGCACCGTGCAGGTCGTTTCGAGTGCAGAGGACGAAGGCGGAGAGTGGAAGAGAGGGAGAGAACCTCGAGAGCGGCATTTACGGAAGTCTAGAGTACCCGAGCGAATTTGACCGATCGTAAAGACGGCTTATGCATCTTTATGCGAAACGTAAAAGCGGATTAAGCAGCGAGCGCTCCACTCGACGGGAACTCCTCGAGACGCGAGAACGCAAGAAGTTTCTATGGCTACGTGTGTGCATTTGCATCGGGCGCTCGAACGCCGCTCGAATCGGAATCTCGCGAATTCAATTTACTTGCCTCGCGAAAGATCGACGCGAACAAAAGACCCAAACCTGAACGAAACACACGCTTCGATTAACATTCCCTCGCAAAATTGCTCGTCGATCGATTATACTTTCGAAAATAATTTTTTAATGGCAGTCAGATTGGGCCACGAACGCCCATAAGGTGTAAGGTCTACTACCGATATACATCGTCTGTGATGAGAGAAAGGAGCGGCAAGGTTCGTTTCGATGGTCGAAAAACACGAAAGGTTGGCGGGTAGGCGAATCACGTAACAGTTGTCGCTTCTTTAAAGACTCGACGACTACTTTGTCCCTATTTACAAGATATCCCGCGATTCCGGAGAGTGTCCCGACGCGAAACAATAGGTACGACGAGGGCACGTTTGGCCGGGAACGTGCACCGACCATTCCGAAAAATCGACGCGGCGGTTCGTGCACCGAGAAAGAAATCAAAGCTTTCTTCGGTCGGTCTCTCGCCAGTCTTTGCGCCCGTGTTATCGTCAAAGACGTTTCCTCTCTTTCTTCCGGGACCTCTTCCTCGTCTCGCATTCTTCTCGTATTAGAACACGTACGCGAGTTTCTGCGGCTTTGTCTGGATATCGCGATCGTTATCTAGACGCAACGACCGCGACGCGCCACATTCGATGCAAGAGTTCGCTGTTTGACCGCGGCCTTTCGCAACAATGCGTCCGGGGAAAACAGATAGAGAAATGAAAAGTTGTTTGCACAGCGACGCACCGACTTGCGAATAGCTTGCTGAAGCACGGAGAGTTCAATGTTTACTTACCAAGCTCGTACAAAGGACACTGCGGTTGGGAGACCCTGACGTCACGATACGACTATGATCTACCGTACGTGACGCGATTCAACGATTCCAAAGGTGTTCCATGCCGTCTCGATCGACTCGGAATGTACACATTGCCGAATATTTCGATCGGTTACCGAACTTACTTTTTATCAACGATGGCTCTATCGCGATGCACTTTCGATGCAGATCGAGGGAAAGCGTGAGAAAGGCTGAGTTTGGGCACCGAGGACGACCATTTTCGAGGGCGAGTAAAACGTAGCGTATAAATGAAAGGCAGATAAGGCCGGCTAATGCGAGACGCGCTCGATTATTCACGGGCGCTTACCGGCGCGACATCGACGAGGACTCGTCGCTCTTCGAAGCATCCAATTTATAAGACGAAGGACGATCCTCGACAACGTCTAGCTCTTCGACGCGTCTGCCATAAATCCTTTAAAAAAAAAACGACCAGCCTCGAGGACGCGCCGTGGGGCGGTTTATTCGCGCCCGAGAAAACTATTTCGCCTTCGACTGTCACGGAATCCCGCGTAATTTGTCACTGGGAATCGTCGTATAAATATGCAAGACAACATACGGCCGGAACGCGAGATTCCCTGTTCCGTGGGATATCTGGCGCGTCCGTAAAACGGATTTATCGGGCTCAAAGAGCCTGTCGTAAAATAAAGGAATACGCCGCAGCTCGACCGACGGACGACTGAAACGAGTTTTATCGCGGCCGAATCGTACGCGACGTCTGCGCGGCAAATGTCACGATTTCGGGAGGACTCGTCGATGAATGGCATAATTGATAGCGATCGACCGATTTCCGTTTGCTTTGGAAGCGTTTTTTCGTTAATAGCTAGCTCGTTACGACCGACCATCGGACCACGCACGCCATTCGACGATGCATCTTGTCATCCCGAAAAGCAAAAACCGCGAAACCCATTTTAAAAGCAAACTAATCGTTATTGCGCCGAGCTAAGCGTATGTAGGCTCGCGTGTTTCGAAGTTGTTTCGGACTGTCTCGCACGAAAGTAACATTTATTCGATTCATGTTGTATTTGAAGAGTGTTAAATCCAAAGCGTATCGGTTCTCGAAGAAAGTAACCGCCCCGTTGGGGGCAAATTAAGAATCCGGTCTCGCAACAGTCAACGAAACCAATCGTTTCGAACGTGATAGCTTCTACAAAATTTCTAGAATGGCTGGAAATATCGGGCGGGACGCACAGCTTGAATAAAACATCGACTTTCCAGCCTGGACTCTTTCAATTTCGGCAGCAGTAAGCTACTCTGCATCGTCTCGTGTTTGTATCGCTGTCAATTATATCAGAAACGCGATCTAATAGTTTCGCAAGCCAACTTGGAAATAACAATACGGGTAACCGCAGCATCCACGCTCGGTTCTCGTACACGTAGTATGTTCCAAAGCAGGGGTTGCAACCCCTCGTCTCGCGAACCAGGAGGGACGCGAAAGAAAATATTGAATGTAGAGGAACGCGAACAACTTAAACATTTCTTTACATCGATACACCGATCATTGATATTTACCATCCCCCGCGAGTACATTTTTCATACGTCAGGGAAGGAGTGTACGAGAGAAGCCATTATGGTTCCCCGATTTGCGTGGCAGAAATGGCTGATCGGAAGCCCCTGGCGTTCCGTGGGTTCGCTTATCGGCGCGAACTCGTACGATTCGAGCTCGATTTCGTCCAAGTCTCTCGAGACCGTACACCTCGCCGGATGAAAGATGTTACAATTAGCGGGGGTGAGCGGTGCAAGGACGAGTTTTCAGACGGTTGCTCCGACACGCAGGGTCGTGCGTCGCCAAGTTCACGCCGAGAGGAGAGGAGAAAAAGCCGAAGGAGGGTGGGAACCGTGGATAGGTATTGATTTGCCAGCGCGGAGAGGAGCAAAGAGAATGATCGGACGTGAAAGTCGACGAACCGTGCGAGCGGAGACGGGTCGAGCGGCGAGAAGCTGCCAGGGACCGAGTCGCGTCGACATCGACCCGCGTCATCGCGCGCGTATTTTTTCGCAAAACGTTAGTCGGGTCTTACGTCGACAGAATTTGCCGAGACCTCGAGCAGAATATCTGGGGAAAAGGTCAACGATTTACGAACGTCCATCGCCGTCGAGCGTTACGACGCTACGGGAGGATCTTGACCGGAGGGTTCGTCGCGATTCGGACCCCTTCCACTATTCTGGCGACAGAGATGGAAGTCATCGTGCACAGTTTTCACTAGGACGAGGAATGAGGAAAAGAGAGAAGGGACCGCGTACCGTTTGACGGAATGCACCCAAGAGAAAACGCGTTAACGCGCGGCGACCCTCGAAATGTTGGCAGGAACGGTGACAGGGGCACAAGTGCACGCGTGCCAGTTTGTTTCGCAGCTGCAACCCTCCGGAGTATTATCGTTCACGATTACGTTGCGCCAAAAAGCATTATTCGCGAGCGGAAATTGCTCGCGTCCCTCCGCTCGGGTTAAGTAAGGATAACGTGGCAAACGGTCTGGCGCATTAACCCCGAAACGTATACACACTTCGTCTTGGACGAAGGTAATGATTCTTAAAACGAACATCGCCACGGGGTTGGTCGGAAGTCGGGAATTTCGTTCGAAAGCACGGACGTAATTGCGTTTCGAGGGTTGAGCGTACCGCGGAGACAATCGCGCCACAGTTTTTCCACTGGACGTTGTCCGACATCGCGACGATCTTGCGAGCCCTAACGCGGGCTCCCGATCGTGCCGATACCCTACTTTAGCAACGTATCGCCACACCAGGCACACGCAAACTCATAATTTCGCATTCTGTCGAGCCTCGTAGCCGCCCCCGAACGATAAAAACCCGCAAGAATCTTGCGTTTCTCTGTGACCCAGTAATTGTCTGGTTCCATCGAACCGTCGAAACGAGACTCCGTTGGAATATTCCCAGAGAATTCGAAGCTCGTGGTGATCGAAGAGGTTCGTATTGCTTAATGAAGCTACGAATCGACGTTGACACCGATCAAAAGCAGGTTACGGATAGCTGGGTAAATTTTTGCAACGCAGGAACCCGTGCAGCGAAGAAACAAAGGAGGCTCGACGTTTAAAGATTTTGGCAACGGTCTGGAATTCGTCGTGTCGAACGGCTAATCGAGCCCGAGGCCAAACAGCCTAATGAACCGGCCGTGCGCGTGATCCGATTGTCGAATCGATCCTCCGTCGGGTTCCGTCCGACATCTCCCGGAAAATCGTCCCGCTGTGTGTTTCGGATACGTCCAGGCCAGGATTAATTCCGCCGCCTCAGCCCCCCCGCCCCGGCTTTCGAATTACGACTGAAATTCTGCGAGAATCGAGACATCAAAGGGGTTGTGTCTCCTGGAAAAAAATTACCCCGCGAAACCGAGGGAAAACCGATAACGTTTCTGCCCGCGCTGTTCACCGCGCTCGGCTGTCCCATATTTCCGTCAAAATTACCACCTCCACCTCGTGCAAACTTCCAAACGACCAACCAAATACTCTTCTGGACCCAGCCTACTCGACGCGATTTAGGGTTGCTGCGCGAAACTACCTTCGTTACCGAAAGCGTACGGATCTATGGGAATCACAGAGTTTCTCTGAAAGCCTCGAGAGCTCGAGGACCGATTTATTCAAACTGAGCAACGTTTGTCTCTGCTTACCCTGCAACAACGACGTCGACGACGTCCACCACCGTTCTTGAATACCTCTCGAGCCTTCTGCAACAAACGAAAACGATGCGTAAACGATTCTGCGTTGCTAGAAAAGAATAAACGACAAGTTCGCGGCAATTTGAGAACGCGAGAACGAGTAGGGTCCCGGTTAAAACTTCCAAGCGGTGTTATTCAGACTCGCGACTAATTCGTACGAAACTTTTCAATGAAATTCCACCCTTCTCTCGACCGCGTCCTTTTTCTCCTGGCTCGGAATCGAAAACGAGGAAGCAGGAATCGCTGCTCCTCTTCGCGTTCTCCTTCCTCCCGAATAACCGACGGTGCCAAGCTGTCTTACAACTCACGACCGATGGAAACGGTTCAAACTCGACGACCAAAACTTTCGTAGCCGATACAGGACGCTTCAAAGCACGCGATTTGCTTCCCAGGAACTGCCCCCGTCCTTCTTCTCCTTTGGAATCTAGGTAAAATGATCCGAACGACTCTCGTCGATGAACCTTCTCCAAGATAACGGAGAAATGAAAGATGTTCGCGGCGTGGATCGAGGGGGATTTTTGGGCCCGATCGCGGTGTGTTTCGCGCTGTAACGCGTGTAACGGCAAAGGAATTGACCGAAGAAGCGGAGAAACGAGAGCGAGCCAACAACGGCGCCAGGGTTATTTATACCGAGACGACCTTTGCCGACGTCGACGGCGACGCTCAATGAAAATCTTTCGCACCGTCAACTAGACGCGGAAGAAGGGCGAGCGGGACATTCTCGGTTCGCATGGCGCCGCTTGGCCACCCTAAATGCCATCCCCTTGGCCCGTTCCGTTTGCCAACCAGCCACCGAACACGCTCCGCCAACGTCTTCCGTGATCTTTCAAGCTCTCGATCTCTCCGAGCCCGAGGATCGAGAAAACTCTCGCGACACCTCGAACGACCAATTTCCCCGCGATCGAAAGTGTATCGCGCGACAACGATTGCGCGATCGCGACGACAATGATGCGCGGAAATACATAGTCACCGCCAATTCTATTTCCGTCGATGCAACTCGCGGGTGTGCTTATTGCTTCGCGTAACGCTAACGACGATCGCAGATTCGATGGAATCGCAGCTTTGCTTCAAGTCTGTCGAATCTTGGAACAAATACAATTTCTTTTAAATCGTTCTTACAGAACGAATAAAACTTTATCTAAAGTTATTTTTAGCGTTCAGGGGGGTAGATGATGGGATAAAGAAGTTTCCATTATGTGAAATAGCCGATTATGCGAACCTTCCTGGCCCCCTTCTGGTTTATAGAAGCCGGAGTTCCAGTGTATCTCGAGGCAGCGCGAAACCGAATCGTTTAACGCCGATGTTCCGCGATATAAACGGATCGCTCTCGAGGCGGGAAATATGGAAACGAAAAGAGAAATGGAGGGAAGCTACGAACGAAATTTAAGACGGTTCCTATCCCTCGGATCCTATCTTGCGAAGAATAAATGTCGCGTCGTTAAGAGTTAACGAGGGAAAGATGGCGACGGGGTGCGTCTAGAGAGAGAGGAACGAGGGTGGGAACAGAGAGGAAGGGGAGAAAGATCGCGTGCCTCGTCAGCGAAAGCTCGATACTTAATTGAAACTGCCGACTAAGCGAGGCTTTTGCTTACGCGCGCCGTGACTCTGCCCCGACTGCGGACTTCCGTTCCACGATCCATCTGCCATGAATCCAAACGTTCCTTCGGATTATCCGCCGTTCCGTATCTCTCGTTCCTGCATTCCGACCAAGAAACCGTACCGATTTTTACGAAATTCCCAAAGCAATCAAATTCCTGTCGATCGCGGATTAATCGCAGTTAAACCGTGACAACATTGTCCAAGAGACGATTATCGAATTGTCGTCCGTCGCGATTAATTTTAGTAATCGATAGCTCGCGTTCTGCGCCGGAATTTGATAAAAAGTTAGTGTCCGAATTGTTGGGGAATTATCGCGACAAAATGAAATATATTGCAATGGTAGCCTCGTTAAGTTAATAATTAGATCGCAACCCTTGGTTCGCGGTAATTGGCCAATTTCAAGATTCTGCCGGGAGACGGAAATTGCGTCTTTCGGCTGGTCAACGGACCCGTGTGGCTTGTTGTTTGCGTAAACACGATGCACTGGTATAGTGCACGCGTTCTGCATCGGGGCACAGCGAGCGGACCATGCCAATAATTCGATATGGCGGCGATCGAAGCTTCGGTGGCATTGCTTCCCTGTATGGCTCCATTGTGTCGTCGATACGCCAGAGGGGTTCGATGAAAACGTATCTTAAATGGCCCACAATCCATACGTATTAGGCGCTATTCGTTCGCCTAAGGTTCTACCGAGAACAACTTCGATGTAAAAGTTCACAACATCTAGTTTGGAAATTAGAAAGAGCCTTGGGGGTGTAATTTACATACACAACACCGAGAATCAAATAACAGAAGGGTCTTAAAAATCGTGGAAATAATTTTCTTCGCGATCGCACGAGTTAGATTTCGATATCGTCGATCCAACATAGCTAGAAGAAGGCTTCCTCGGCCAATAAATTGAAATTTATCTTCCTTGTTCGCGCGTGCCCGTTTCCTTTCCTTCACCCTTACCATCTGGCTCGGGCCATAAATTTAGAGCGTTTTCCACTTCACGGCTCGAAGCCGCTCCGTGCTCGCCAGATGGAATAATCTTTCCTCGACTATCCCAACAGTCGACCGACTCGCCCAAACGATCTATCGGGAACGTCCACGATATGGTGATTACGCGTTTCCGATCGTCGTTACCACCAATACGCGTACGTACCTTTCCTTATGAAATTCGTTTTAGAATCGACGAACCTAAATGAAACTATCTAAAAGAAACTAACATCCACCATGAAATATAACCGTTCGATGCCCCGAAGATCGATACGACGTTAAAGAAATATCGCGATCGTCATTACTATCGGAGATCTTACAGGAGCGCGTAATAAATCTCACGTAGTTTAACGAAGAAGAAAAAGGAACGATTGGAGGAGAGTCGAGAGAAATTCGATCTCCAGAAATGTCGAACAGCAAAGGTCGCCTAGTGGGATATAGATCTAAGCGCGACACCGAAGCCAATATGTTCACAGATTGCGGACTTTGCCGAGCAAATACAGAGACGAATCCGTTCGAGTCGCCGTCCAGCGTTTGCTTAAAAACTTTTCCTCACCGACTGTCCTCCTATCGATCCTCGATCGACCTTACTCGCGTTGCCTTTTGTCGCGTCGTAAACGAAAGGGTTAAGCCAGAGATACCAAATATTTTCTATGAATTTAGACGGAAACGATGGACAGGAAGGAGCGTATCGAAAGAATGTTTCGTGTCTCGATCGGTAGAAGAGCGGGACGCTGGTTGAAACGCATCCGCCGCGATACCGTCCCGCTATTTATAATCGTACGATGCGTCCAAAGGCGGGATATTAATTATCGGGATGGCGATTTATCGTTAACGCAGCGGCGAGCTACGCCGAACCGGATAATGTCCGTCGTTTGTCAAGCCGGCTCAACGGCTGACGAGAAATCGCCAACCTCGAGTAACGAGCGGCGTTTTGCGCTTTCCGAAGATCCCTCTCTGCAAATGTCACGGAAATAGGGGAGATCGAGCCTTCCCTATTGGATTTCCCGAAATAGTTGCGCCGGCTAACGCGCGCCCCGTCCTCGTCGATTTCGTTCGATTACCTTTTCGCGCGTAAAAACGCGCCGGCGTAGAAAAATACGGGGTAAAAAAAGGTAAGAGGCGAGAGATTCCAAAATTAAATCGGCAGCGACCTGTTGTTAATTCGAACGCGAGCTTCCGACCCGCCGAATCTTCGCGGCTGATCCGTTTGAAAATTCCCAGACCGTTCGACGATATTACATAATATTACACGAAAATAATGAAAACGACGTACCGTTTTCTGCGAAATATTTCTGTACTTTCGTTCGGTTCGGACACAACCGTTCCGGAAAAAGTTACCGTACGCCAAAAACGACACGGTAGACAACCGTGATACGTTTCGTGCGTCATTTCTGACCGTGCGTCAGTTTTGACGCATGGAACAGGAAGAGGGATAAGGGGATTCGTTCCGACACGTTGGACGACTGACTTTTTCGATACATTCCGGTCGCGGACACGTAATAACTGTCTGCCTCTCGCAACAGTAGTTTTACGAAACGTCGAATTTCACTATTTTTTTTTTAGGTACGTAAGCGGTATAATTGATCGAGGCTACCAAGAATTTTATCAGAAGATATCGGACCTGACCAAACTCGAAACTGTCTCGATTACGGGAGACGCGAGGAATCAGTTTTACCGGAGGCGAAACACAGAAGTAGAAGAGAAGACGGGAGGAAAAAGAGAAGGAGCCGTAGGAGTAGCGTCGGGACGTCGAGAGCGAAAAGTGGTACGTAGCCGGTAAGCGGCGGATGGAACGAAAGAATACGAGGAAGAAGGAAAGAACGGCCGAATGGGGGAAGGAAAAAGTGGTTAAAGAGGAGAAAAAGAGAGAGCTCCCGGCATTGTACCAATTCACGACGCTAATGCGGAGAGTGTTCTAAAGACCGAGGAAACAATGGCGGCACTCCACCGGCTCTGATTCTCCTTTTCCACGAGTCTCCGCGCGACGCTCGGCGTCCGTGCATGCGCCGTGCAATTCCGGCTGCGCGTAGTTACGCAAACTTGACGCGGAAGTCTGCTCGGCCGTTGCTCCCGAAAAAAATGCCCCTCGCGAATAATCGTCCGAACGAAACTCCTTTTCCATCTCGTGAAACGGACACCTGCCTATCGAGAATCGATAGAATCGAGTCGATTCAAACGTTGTGTTACATTGTACGAAGTCAGAGGTACCGATGGATCAATTCGCCTTAGATCTCGGAGAAAAAAGCAATCGATCGTTTAAACTAAGAGCAAATTCGACGCACGAGATTCTGAATGCGAGCGTCTTCTCGGTCCTTGGCCATTTTCCGCTCGACTACGCTCCGAAACGTCGACCATTGAAAAGCGATCGAAGCACACAAGTATTCCGTGGGACCGTCGTTCCCGTGAAAGAAATCGATGAATCGTAAGAAAGAAGTCACGGATAGGTCCTCGATGCGCTTTTAATTAAACTTTTCGTTTAAAAAACGAGCAGAGGGATCACGAGACCGGAATCTTCGCGACAGGGGCGGGGCAAATCTCTTTCGAAAACCTTTGGATTAGTTTCAAAACCCTTTTCATCCGCGTTTTACCGCGGAACGAAGCGAAACACCCCCCCCCCGTATCGATAGATTCTTTTCCGGACACCGATCGAACCTTCCCATTTGGACGAATCCGATATCGACTGCTCGTCCTAGCAGCTCCGACGTTGTTTTTTTTTTTCTCTCGCGGAGAAATTGGACGTTGATTAAACCGTGGTATTTATTCTCCCTCGGCGCCCGAGACCCTCGTCGAAAGGAACTAAATAGACGGCAAGTGACGCGCAAATACGGCCGGGAGCCAGGAAGCTCTTCTTCGACGAATAATTCGAGATTCTCGCAGGGAAGACTTAAAGTTCCGCGACCGAGTTGTCGAAATAAAGTGCACGATAAAGGCTTGTAAAATTATTTTCTCCCTGGAGAACTTGGCAAATAAAAACAGATTTTAAAGCTAATGATTGTTATAGGTATCTGTAACTTCGAACGTTCTCGCGAAATCGTAAGATTTAGCCCGCACGAGGGCGTCGCGCGTAATTACTCAAACGTCTTGTCGTTTGCCAGAGAAGCAAAAGCCCGATATTTTGCTCGTCTTTTCTTTCTTCCGGTTAACGAGCAAAGGAAACGCGGCTACCCTTCGAGCATTAATATAACGGAAGGAACCCGTCGAGTTACCTTTTCGCGTCTTTAATCAAATTTCCTTGGAGCTGGTGCGCGCGATATACTCGACGCGCTACTTAAACGTTATCGTTTCCGTCCTCTCGACGTCGTTATTGCCCACTTCGCGGCGCATCGCGTCGTCGTCGTCGCCGTCGACGTCATCATCTCGCCGAGAATAACGAGTCGACGACGCTGCGACGAGACCGACGTTCCTTGTCTCCGAAAGAGTCCTACTTGGCGATTTTCTACCTACCCGCGGCGTCGCCCCCAGATTCTCCTTCGAAAATCATTTTTAAATTGCTTAGAAACTTGGACGAAACTGGTGCAGTACGAAAAGAAGGGAATTTGGGCAATTTATTTACGTTTAAAACACTCGAAGCGGACCCAGCTTTGGGACTTTCGTAAACATCGTTGCGTAATACACGGTTGGGCCATAGTTTTCCGACTCGTGCCTTAAAAGGTTGGGACCATCTCTGACCTTACATTCCTTTACGAAGGTACCTGACGACACGTTTAGAGCACAGCTCTTCCGTTATTCGAATTTCCCTTCTCATTTCGAAATATTCTTCGCGATGGTGAAAAATTAATTGGGACCGTCGCCCGATGGAAAACGAGATCGTTAAGGAATAATCGCGACCACATCCGCGTGGCAATTGTACGGAAAGGGGTAATCGAGGGAATCGGTGGTTTCCGAAATTGGATTTTGGGGCTTTTGAATTTTCGAGAGGCGTTGAGTGGTACCTACTCCGGGCCCTTCGCGTTTCCTCGTCGACCGTTGCGCTACAGGAGGGACTATTTAGGTTTCGTGGCCGCAAACGAGGACCAATTGGATACAAGGACGGAATAGCTAAATCGTCGTCGTGAAAATGATTGCGCGCTACGAGGTTGCGCGTAACTCGTCCGAATGGAATTTCAATAGGGGAACTGCTCCCACTCTGAGCTAGGGATCGACCTCTTCGCAAGGTCGTACACTCTACGATTTTAACCGCGAGTCGGATACTTTCTACGCGACGAATTCGAAAATCGAAACGATATCACCCGTGTAATGGAGAAACGTTCGATCGCGTCACGCCTATGCGTTCGTTGCAATTTTCGTTGCATATGGACTCGCGAGGCGAAACAGCCCCGCATTCGTGATGCAAGGCGTTACGAAAACCTCGAAAATCGGCCGAACGATTCCCGTGGCTCGGTTTGGACAATGGCCAAGGCCGCGTTGCTCAACTTCGTCAGCAACGTAGAGACCCAGCGAGGCTACACACGTTCGTCGTCGAATGCAGCCCCGCGACGGACAACGCCAAGAGGTTAATAATTATGCGCGATTACGCGAGGCAAACATCGCCAGTCGATGCACGTAACCACGTCGACGCGATCGGATAGGTATAAAAGAGGGCCGGTCCGGTGTTTCGAGCATCAATCGATTTTCAACGGGCTTACAAGCTTCTCACATCCTCTCCAACGTACAACATGAAGTGCATCGCAGTGAGTAAACGCGCTTAAACTCATTTACCGTGCAACCGCAATCTCCATAACACGAGACAACGCCAGGGCTGCGGAAACATTCGCGAAAACGATTCCATTCGCGATTATATCTATTTATTGTGAACGAGATCGAGTTTCGATGGTGTACACGATTCCGGATTAATTCGTATAAATTTCTGAAAAACTAGTTGGACGTTCGTTTCGATAACGGTTTACGTTAAGGGTGGAATCGGTCACGGAAACACCAGGAGAATTAACGAGATTTTTTTATACGATTTTCAGGCTGTCGTTCTGCTCGCCCTGGTCGGCGTAGCTCTGGCGAAGCCCCTGGACACGGAGTCGTCGATCGAGCCAGCGAAGAGCGAATCGCTGGCGCCGGAATCTGATCTCGCGGCGAGGAACAAGCGAGGGCTGTTGCTCGGCGCTGCGTACACCGCCCCTGTGGCCTACAGCGCTTACACCGCTCCGGTCGCCTACACCTCCGCCTACAGCTACCCTTACGCACCCTACGCCGGCTACCCCTATTACGCCTCGGCTTACTCCGCGCCCTACTACGTACTCTAAACCCGCTCGACCGACGCCACTTCCATCGACCAACGCCGGATCTACCCACCAAACGCGACGACTGCACCGATCTCTCGACAGCTCCGACGAGAGCTCCTCCATCGGACGATCGAGATGCACGAATGACACGGCGGAAGGATGCTGGCATCGAATCGCAACGCCTCACGGACCAAACCAGCAAACAACAAGTCACATCTCAATCGAATCTTCCGATCAAAATTTCACTCCTCGAGCGACAACGTTGCCAGCGTTCTTCCAAGCTTTACTAACAATTAGATTGTAGAATTATATATATATATATATGTATATGCATACATGCTTATGTGTATCGTGTATAATAAGATATGTAATAAAGTTCGTTGCAAATCATACGTTTCGCATTTAAATGTGCCTTCCTCGTCGCGTGTCTAGCGAGACCTCCGTCTTCGTCCCATTACGTGCCCCACATACCGCCTCTAATGGCGTCGCTTCCGGACCCGATGGATTCTTCGATGATGTATGTATAATAACGAGGAACATTATCTCTCGATGGAACGATCGACGCAACCGATCAAATACGCTCGAGAATAATTGAAACCGACCCTGATACCATCCGCGGGCTCGTGAATCGCATAAAAATGTATTCTTGCGTTACTATGTCGCTTGTTTATCTCGAAGGGAGATTAATCACTGTGCTTTATCGCTTTTCTATTTCTATCGCGTACTGTCCGCATTTAAATTTTTACTCCGTATTTGTATAAATCGTATAATCGATTATTAAAGAGAACGCAACAGGCCTGATGATCATCCAAATAAATTATTAATATATTACTCCTACCTTTCAAATAAAATGGTAAACCTTTGCAAGGAGTTTTCGTCGGAGGAAACCATCTGGATTTGACGGAGACGAGGTTACACGTAATTTTAATTCTACGATACTCTTTATTGACGTACGATACTTTTATATAATAGGGTGTTCAGCCACCCTTAGGAAAAATTTTAATGGGAGATTCTCGAAGCCGAAATAAAACAAAAATAGAGACTACCAATTTGTTGAATTGATTTTGATATTCTTGATTTTCGTCTTATTTTGGCTTCCAGAATCTCCCATTAAAATTGTTCTCAGGGGTGGTCGAACACCCTGTGTAATAATAAATGAAGGCAATCGCACAGTTCCTCAATCATGCTCGACGAGAACGATTTTTACGGAAACCCGGCGTTCTTCGTCGCTGGTGGAAACATTAAAAACAATTCACCGACGGCTCTGCTCCGTCTCTTTTGTGTTTTCTTCTTTCGTCGCCGAGCAGCGAAACACATTTCTTGGATACCATCGTACCGTGTCGCATATTTGGCAGCAAGACCGACTCGCCGGTCCTCTTAACAACTCGCCGGAGCACTTGCTTCGTTTAAGAACGGTTCCACCTTCTCGCGAGCTCGCGTACGCCAAATGGAAAAATCGAACCTTCAAAAGGCTTCCGCGGAAATGGAAGGACCGGAGATTGACGCGCGAAAAATACACGAGACGGTTCTTTTCTACAGTCGAGAACAAGCACGGTAGACGCGTCCATCTTCGATATTAATTTTCATTCATTTATTAACGGGTATTAAACCCTTTAGTACAAAGATGTAATATGCAAGGAACTACAGATGTGGATTTACATTATCGCTTAGTGAATGTAACGAAATAAATTTTCAACTGCAATTGTGCGCAATAGCGTGTATCGCTACCCAATAAAGTGAGACAATTATGGGCGCCATGTTGGCGAACGCGACACGAGTCAGAGATGAAAAAGGCTTAACCCGAAATATCGCGATCGAGCGCGGTGAAACTTTTAATTGCCATTGTTCCCGACGTGGTAATTAAGCCGAGGCTCGTTACGTTCGTCCGCGTTAAATTGCGCTTCAAGATTATTTCGAGTTTCCTCGATGTTCGCACCCTCGGAGGTAGCAAAGGACTCTGCGGTTTTCGGTTTCCCATCCGGCGACAAATCAACCGTACCCACCGGAAACACCCGGCGAGCCGAAACTAGTTACCCAAATTAACTCAACGAATGATTTAGGGGTTCGCCGCGAACGTATTCGAATTGCCTGCGTGCGGATTTGGTAATTTTTTTTCCAAAACTAAACGCTACTTTCTCTTTCGTTGCAACGATCTCGCGACTCCTCGATCGCATTTGCGTGGATGCGAGGCGAGCAACGTGGAAAATAAACGCTCTATAGAGGACCAGAGCGTGAATTTTGACCAGTCCGGGCTCGATGACACCTCAATTTCCTCGCGCGTTACGTCCACGCCACTCTAAACTGTCGATTCCCCAACGGTCAGCATTAGGGACTGTCCTCCATCGAGAACTATGTCACGTACTTTGCCACGAGCGCGACAGCGCCGCGCGGAAATAGCAAAGCTTTCTATTTCCAAAGTGTCGTTTCGTTCGCGAGAAAACCTGGGTCATAAGGTGAATCGAACAATTTTTTCCTCCCAATCGGTTGCTACAGTGAAAAAATCACGAAATCGTCGAGTTTTGAAAGACGGAGGAAAGGGACATGGAACTTTTCACGTTTCAATTTCCGTTGAAGCAACGATTGACTGCTGTCGAAAGAAGCGGACAACTCTTTGGCGCGCCTAATGCATCAGGCTCGAGCAATTTGGAAAGCAGGTACGCGATATCTGGCAATCCTCGGCTCGAAATTCGGAACAGCGTGGCGGCTGGTGCATCTGTTGCAGCTGCGACCGAAGTAAAGTGAAAAGCTGTCTGGAACACGCTAATGCTCGGCTCAAGGTACACGCACCCCTGCTAATATGAATTCCGATGAGTAAACACGTCCAAGAGTCTCTCAACGCGCGGCCCCTAATTCTCGGGCGCTGTTTACACGCTGGGACGGTGCTTCAATTTGTTACAAGACCGAGTGACAGATATTCCCGACGTACGTTTTCCGCCGCGACGGTGTATTTTCACCGGAAAACCCGCGGGGGTACTCGTCTTTTGAAATTCAACGACGACTGACAATTTAAAATTCGACTCGTGTTTAGCAAATGCGCTCCGTATTGTAGGTGGTAATCAGTTAATTGCAAACGATACTTAGACGCGATCTATCGATTAAGCCGTATACGGGTCACGAGCCGCGGTTTGACCACCGTTAATACATACATACCAATCGGAATTTCGCAAATATTAATTGCAGGGTCAAGTAAATCAAAATCAAACGTTACGCGTGTAAATTTGATTGGAGATATTTTCACTAAAATATGGGAAAAGCATCATCGTTGTTTCTAAAGGTATCAGAAAATGTTGATCAATCGGGTATTTGGAATTTATTATTTCGCGCGAGAATGATTACGCTATTCGAACAACTCTACGTACTCGGGTAATAGGCTGCTACGGTGGATGCCCGGGTATTTTTCGCGTTCCCGGATATTTCCCGAATGCCTGCGTATCCGATTTATCCGGGTACCGACAGCACCGACGAAAATACCTGCGTGCATTCCCGAGCTATCGGTTACGCATCGGCGTGGACGCGCGACGGTAAATCGTCGGAGCGAACAAGACTTCGAAATAAAGGGTTCCCCTTCCCCTGTCCATCGATTCCAATAATATTCCGCGGGGGATAAAGCGGAAGATCGCGACGCCCCGGAGCGTTTTTCGTTCGAGTTTTATCAAACGGCGCTCCTGCCCCGTTATCGTCGAACAATACTCGGAAATCGGAATCGACGCGACAGGGCCATTGTCGCGTATCGCGATCGGAATCGCGGGTGCTCTCGTTCCGTTAAGCCGCGGCTTTCCGCGAGCGTTCGAAAAATTTGCAGGATGGAAAACCGGCTTTCCTATCTATTTAACCCCCCTCGACGCGTTACAAATATCGCTATTATTTCGTAGATCGCTTTTAAAGGCGGACACAGAGTCGAAGAAGCGAACTATTTACAGTGGAAATAAAGGACACACGTACACGCGCAGGGGGAAGAAATTGCAAGCGTCTCTCTACGTGATTTTCTTTACAAGGGACGGTGCAATTAATTTCCTTCGAAGCAGACGTTCGCGCTGATAACGAGCGGAACGAAATTCGGTATAACGAAGGGTCCGTCCGGTCAGGTCCTGCGGGTGCACGTTCGCAAACAAAAGCCGGTTTAACGCAATTGTCCCCGGGGATCCTCCGGTCGAGTTCGACCGAGCTACGGCCGATCTTTGATGCCAAGTAATTAATCGAATGAGTTCGACCGATGGAATCCAATTCGACGTCTACTCGACGTCGCTTCCCCCTTCCGTCCCACGCTCGCGTTCCGGTGTAACGCCGACCTTTGTCCCTCTCGTTCGATCTGCAGCGCGCACAACCCACGGGGATCCGGTCAAATTTCCCGTGCCAAAAAATTTATAATCAACCGAACGTTGCGTTTTAAAGTTCTTTGCCAATTATCGACTGACTATTTTCACGTAGAGCGCAGAACAAAAGATCTGTATTTCGTAAAGGTGCGTTGGATCGTTAAGGGTTAACGTGCGTGTAAAGTACACCCTCTAAGTATAATGGAGAACCTTCCACGGTAAAAATAAAAATCGACTACAAGACGTAATTAATTTGTTTTAGTTTTGAGGGCGGCTCCGTCTCCACCCTCGTAACGCGACACCCTTTTTTGTCCCTGGTTTCACACGACCCTCCGTGCAAGCCCCGGGAACCGAGCGAAAACGAAAGCAACCTGCGATGGAAAAGTGGCGCGCGCTCTGCTCGACTTGCCGATTAGATCTAACGCACGGTCGTGCGTGCAACTATAATATTATTCGATCTGCATACGAACGCGACGCGCATCGTTGCGTTACGTGTATCGCCGCAACCGATCAATATTCACTCGCCGAAATAGCGAGTGCGCGGCAAATTCACTGGCAAGGACACGCGACGCTATCACGATACGCACTTCCGGTCTCTGTGTCGCATTTACAACCTTTGAGCAAGTTTCTTTTTCATTTGGACGAGACTTGAAATTCCGTTTAAAGACGTCCGATTTCCGATAGCGGGCTCGACAGGAAGCTTTCCCCAGTTCCGTTTCGCCGATACATCGATACAAGAGGCGCGATTTTTCGTGCGGAAAGAGTTTCGAGGGAGAGAGGTATTTATAATTGACGCGTCGGCGATACGGGGCCCCGTTGAAAAGGGAATTTCTACCCCCGGAGAGACTTTGTGGAAACGCGTGCCGTGAGAGACGCATCCATTAATCAGGAAACGGGCTGTGCATCGTGCAAATACGCCAGCCAGCTCGACCGTAAGGGCTAATTATCGCATTTGCACGAGAAGCAAACACGAGGAGTGGGTTGCAACGATGATCTCC